AAACAAAACAACCAAACCAAAGCAACCAAAGCAAACAAACCAAAGCAACCAAACAAAACAACCAAACCAAAGCAACCAAAGCAAACAAACCAAAGCAACCAAACAAAACAAGCAAACCAAAGCAACCAAAGCAAACAAACCAAAGCAACCAAACAAAACAACCAAACCAAAGCAACCAAAGCAAACAAACAAGTGAACTTGTTCCAAAACCGTCTCTTCATCCAACCTCCCAGGAGCTCGTAGACTTCCAGGGGCACCAGCAGGGTGCCCTCCTGGACGCCTAGGAGTTCGGGGCGGTTGAGACAACCGGTGATGACTCCGCTTGAACGGCGTTCTAAGAATGGACATGTTCCAATGCCAGGTCTTGTTCCGATGCAGGTTTTTGTTGGATGGTCTTGAAATGATCTTATAATTGTGTTTTTTGGGGATGCCTTTGGATGCGCACAGGGTTTTAAGAAGGGGTGGGGAGTATATCGCCTTCTCAACCACTATATAAAAGAATCGTCCCTGCATGGCAACTGCGCAGGACGGCCCGCCACGTGCACCACTGCCCCCACCCACCAACCACCCCAGGTGTCTTGTGGACTGGACGAGTTCACCGTGGATCGGAGAGCCGAGCGTTTGAACCGGTGAACCTCTTTCCACCTGCTGTTTAGTGGGGAAGCCCATTTCCAGAATGGTCAAAGGCTACCCACTGACTGCAGTAGGCTGAGCCTTTGTGCTGTAAAACGATGCAGTGTGAACATAGAGAGACTACGCCGAGAACATCCAGTGTTTTTTGCACCCTGCAGGATGATGCCCGTAGAGCTTTCCTCTACAAGCAGGTGGTTTTCCACTTTCACTTCCATGTGCTCGTCGGAGTGTTGATGTCGCGTTGGATATTTTTCAGGTGCCTGTTGCATCACAGAATCCCAGCCGAACATCTGGGCCCCTGGGCTTTGATCAGTCAAAACTTCAGACCAATTTGTTCACCAAGTCCAAGTGGATTTGTATCTGGACCCACAGAGCCTCACTCAGAGCCTCACTATCCTCACTGGCTCACTGACACTCCTCCCCCCCTTTTTGGAGCTCCAAGTGCCTCCAAAAGGCGCTTCGACCCAGGGCGCATCCAACAGCTCTTTACAAGCGGAGGCACATGGAGCGGATACTAACTTCAACTCATAGAGGGCTACCAGGTACCTGCTGGGTCCTGCTGAGTCCGGGTGGCTGAACTGCTCCGCGTCGTCCGGCGGGTTCACGACTGCATAGCAAGAGGAGGAGCTCTCAAGGCCTGGGAGCCCCACTAGTGACTAGCCTTTCGGGCTCAATCCACTCCGCTGACTCGAACTAGAATTTGACGACATGGTTGGCCCAAAGCTGTGTACATGCTAAGCACCACTCACAACCAGGTGCTGCCTAGGCCAAGCTGAGAGCCCGGCATCTCAGAAGCACATAGTCTCCTGAATACCTCAAGCTTGTGGCAGGGGCACCCAACCTAACCAAAGCCAGTTCTGTCATGTTGGACATGCTAATCAAATATCTATCAAATCTTCTAGTGTCTTCTAGATTGTGAACATCATCTTTTGACTCCTTCAGTCTCCTCAGTTTGCTTTTCTTGTGGGGGGCCCATCTCCATAGCCCCTTAGGTATACTCCGTAGCAAAGGCAAGGGGCAAAGACCAGCGCAGGGCATCTTCACGATGACAGCGGCACACGAACTCTGAGGCTGCCAAGGCTTCGCAGGAGACGAGCTTCGCTAGCGGTTCTTCTTCCATTGGCTTCGCTAGCTTCGCGGAAGAAGGACGTTGAAGCCTTCAATTGGGGTGCTCTCCATGGCCCTGGGGTGTCCGCAGTCTAAGCCGAGGGACCGTTCTGCATGCTTTTGGGGGCTCCCTTTCTTTGAGACCAAGCCACTTGCGTGTTGCTTGTGAAGCAACCCTTGTGGATCCCAACCCAAGATGTTCACTTATATAGCTGAGGCATCTAGGGCCCACTCAGCTACTAGTAGTCCGGGCTGTTTTGAACTCCCCGGGTGTCTCCTTTGGCCAAGGAAAACAACCCATCCTGGATGTACAAGTCTTGAGAGGCTGGTTGCAGTGGTATTGCAGCTAGCTCCTTCATCTTGTAGTCTTCAGCGCACAAAGCTTGAGCCGAAGTGGATGCGGAACATTCACAGGCTAGGTGTGTGCGGCCTTAAACAATACACAGGGTGTTCTTGAAGCATCTCACACAAGGTTAGCAGGCGCCCCAGCCGCCCAGTGAAAATCGAGAAAGTAGGTTGCAGTGGATGAACATCATGATGAAGGCCTTTTGCTAGGGGAAATCAGCAAGTGCAGGTTGCCGACGGCATCTTGCTCAGCCATGATGCAATGGATTAAGTCTTTCTTGGAGGAGTTCCCCTCATGCTGGTTCTTGACAGTGCAATGTGATCACTGGTTTTAACTGTAGGGAGTCAAGCCAAACCAAGCCCCAGGGTTTGGAACATGACCACCCTCCACCAAAACCACTGGGTTGGAAGCCCCTCTCCCTCTTCGTCAGCAAGATGGGAAGGCATTTCTGACGGTGACGTGACTATGCCACACCTAACCAACCTTGCGGTTGCACTAGACTGCAGGCTCACTATCTGTCATTCCGTTGCGTTCAAAGGGCCCAACTGCAAACACACACGACACAGAGTAGATCATAGTCATAGTAGAAACCATAAATCTTTGCGTATCTCACAAAATGGGAGCAAAAGTCTTCCAACATTTCTTGAGCTCCTGCAACCCACCCCGCACGAGCACCGCCTCGAGATTGCGAATGCCCATGCGAGCTGCCAAGGAGCCCTCAGAATATGTGCGTTGGCGTTTCTACCACCCACGCCAACATCCTTTTCAGGCTTTTGTCTTCGGAGCGCATCAGTCTAAGGAAAAACATCGTGTCCATGATTGTCCGTGTGCTCCTTCCATGTGGGAAGACCCCAAAAGAAGCCTGTGGCACGTCAGAACACATGTAGCTGCATCTGCTTAAAGCATGTTACACATGTTGCATCACATGGCACACTGGAACATGGCCGCTACACCTTGGCGTTGGCATGTAGTTGCACCTTGTCACAGGTGGCCGGGGACAAGCTTATACAATGATCCCAAGTAGGCATTTGGGTTTGAACACAGGAGGGAGCGCTACAAACAACGCTTAGGCTTAGAAGCAACCTGTCAGCAATCCAATTCTTGGATTTGATTTGATTTTGATTTGCTTCATCTTTTAGAACATCGCGAAATAGAATGTATATAGAAATAAATTGAAGTCAACAACTCTCCAAACATCCCCTGACGGTCAATATGCAGTCGGATCAATAAAATATCACCTGCCGCATGAAGCCTGCGCACGTCCAGGACGTACTAATTACTAAGAAGAGCTCCTTCTTTGAAGTCATCTATCCCTAGGGCTCCAACTACCTCCTGAGAAAATGGTTGGGGTGGGTTTGGGGTGTCTAACCATCTTCCGAGGATTTCTCACCTAGGTCACCCGAGAAGGACGGTTGCTGTTCGGTCGCTGCTCGGCGGTCACCCCCAGATCTGCCGAGCTTCCGTCACCTGGTTGAAGAGCTTCGTACGCACCTGAGCGGCTTCAATGTCGCGACGATCGATCTCGTTTCGGGCGCATGGTAAGGTGGGCCCAGAACCATTGCCGCTCACAGTTGCACCAACAATTGCCCCACAGGTTTGCCTCAAGGCACCCACCATGTCTTTATATAGGGGAGTGATTCAATAGGGAAGTTTCCAGAACCCATGAGATCCCATGAGGTCCCATCATGAGATCTGAGCCACGCAGCTGCGGAACTCTCTCTCTCTCTCTCATGGGTTCCACACGCGATGCGTTCAACCCCGATGAGTCGCAGATGGGTGCGGCACTCCCCATGAGGCATGCACTCCCCGATCTAAAAAGTTGGAGGTGGAGCGGTGCTAATCACCAACTAGTTATACACATGTCGTCAACATGGCTGTTTCTCCAAAGCACCATCACATCACATATGGAGGAACATCACCTACCGTCATCATCACCTGCCCTACCGGGCCCCACCTGAAGTTGGTCCCAGATAAACCCAGGCAACTACCCAGGCACCATTTGCCGGAGCATCTCCCGTGCACCGTCCTGATCTCCTCCATTCAAGTAGGCCATGACGGCACCTGGGCCGGGCCGGGTGCTTCGCCGTCGCGACGGGTCCCGTGGGGTCACTGACCGTGCGCGCGGAATCGGATCGACCCCGGGCAGGTTCACAGGTGCGCAGGCCCCACATGTTCCTCACCAACGGTTGCTGGGCAGGTCCGGAAAAAAGGGGGACAAACCGACCAAGTACCGTGCTAGGACTTAAATGGCTTCAAGGCAGCTTCCTAGCCAGTGTCTTCTCTTCAAGGTTCTAATATTCTATCTACTCGGGGCCGCTTCTCTTTCGGTCTCCCACAAAGACATCATGAAAATCTGCACCTTGATTGGAGTTGGAACCCTGGAACCGTACTGCGGGCAGTCTGTCTTTGCTCTTCCAAAGCTTTGCTTTGCTTTTCTGCAGCTCACGCAGCCAAATTTACCCTGCCTGGAACACCCAACAACAACTCCCGAAGTAACCATGAAGCGTACTGATTGGGAATCCGTTCCTTGGAAATCCATTGAAATCCCATGAAATCCCTAATGAAGTGTACTGATTGGGAATCCATTCCGGCCGGTAGCGGCCCATGAAATCCCATCAGGCCGTCCGCAGCGAGCCCTCACAAGTGGCCTCGCGCCATCACACGCAGCCGTTGGTCGGTGGGCTTCTTTTTCACTCTTCGCCTCGCCCATGTGCCGGTGTTTCTCTCCGATCGGATCCCTCCTGGTCAGATCAGTGCCCGATCTTGGAGAAGACCACGGCCGCCACGGCCACCAGGAACAGCCTCAGGCGGAGAGTTTTGATGGAGCGCTGAGTGTCTCCAAGGAATTCCGCAACTCGGCAAGTCTCGAGGTTAAGTTCAAGCCCCCAAACACCTAGAAATAGCCATAAATGATCCTGGCAACTAGTCGGCAGGGACCCTGGGAAAATCAAGTACACCCTCAAAATACGGTTTCCCTGACATGGGGTCACGTGGGGGTTTGCACCATGTCCGTCAGGGGAATCAACCCCATGTCCGACGGTTAGCGGACCGAGCGCAAAATGCTTTCTCAGCCGAGAAATGAGGCGGGAGATCACTCGAATTGGGTGGAAGGGTTCTTGTTCGCATCCCAATTGGAAGGTTGCCCTTTGTTTGATCAACTGGCATCAATGCGCTCATGTTTGCCGTTGACATCCGTTGAAGGACATCCTGTATTCTTCGTTCGTCCCAAGTCCCGATCTTAGATCAGCATCGAGTGACTGGAAGACCAAATACGAGACCATCCATGCCGCAAAGGTCTGATGTCCCTCAAGCAGCCAGCTCAAAACCTGGCCGCCCAGATTTTTGTTGGCGCTTTCAGAGCGAAGAACGATGAGCCTGCTTGGGGAAGGGAAACCCTATCTGATAGCCCCTTTTAGTGACGACCAATACGTTAATGCATGGGACATTTTTTTGTGGAAGTCTGCAAGCAATCAAATATTTGGGAGTCTCCATCTGACTATATCATACATCTTCACGGATTCTGCCTCAAAAGCCAGGCACTTCCTGGTTCCCAGGTTGTTCGACCCAAACAATGGCAACAACTGGGAAGCAGCAAGCTAGCAGCCCTCAGGTACTTCTATAGCTGGGCGGCTCCAATATGTTGGAATCTCATCCACGTTCCAAAAGAGTCAATCTGCTTCGATGACTTGGATGGCTGCTCGAAAGGCGTTAGAGGATCTCTCTCCTTGTCGCTCCTAAGCCCCCTTGTTTATACAGGATTGAGAGGTTCGATGGCACGTCTGCGCCCCCAAGTTGGGTGGTTTATATGGACCCCCATCTAAGAGTCATCTTGGGGTTTGTGCGATCTACTCTGAAACCACCGAAGTTGGGGAATGTACCGATACCGATACCCCCAGCTCCTTAGCTTCCTTCTGACCAGCTTTGGTTGGTCATATATCTTGACCCATCCCCACCGGCTGTGACACTCACCAGGCTCTCTGTTGATCCTCCACCATGCGGGCCCCACCACGGCCGGGCCTTCTTGGACGGCTCCACTTCCCAGGTGAAGAAGAGTGGGTGAGTGGCCTGAAAAAAAGGGTGGCAACCGTGCGCCACTGGGATTTTTCAACTCCAGCAATTCGAACAGCCTCATAGCCTCGCTGTCACGTTACTCTTCATACTACTCTTCATATGTCAACTTCCCCCCAAGCAACATCAAGCATGTCCCAAACTGGCTACCACACATTGAGACCGGACCGGACGCCTTGATGTTATAGGTTGCTTCGGCTTGTTGCACGGCCAGCCTCACAGGCGTGACATGACACCAACGCCCCGAGGATTTCCACTCCAACACGCGAAGCACTTGGAGTGCAACGACTTGCTTCTCCATGAGTTCGGTGCCTGTAGTAGGCACGGTCCCCGCTGTCCATGAGCCTGGCCGGCAGCTGGGACCCTTGGGTTGCTAAACTTCCTGAACTTCCGTCATCCCACATTCACACATCAACCCTGCACCGCACACCAGTGGAAAATGGTGATGGCACCACTGTTTTCACATGCGAACACCTGCTAGATGAGCAGTCAAACTTCAGAAGAACTGCCGCTTTTTCAAGGAAACAAACGCATGAAATCCGGGCCTGATCCCACCACTGGCCTGGGGGTTATTGTAATTGCCTCACTTTCTGCGCCATCAACGTATGCAAGTTCAGTGCCCTAGGTCCTAAGGCTTCAATCATCACAATCTTTCACTACATATCTGTACAGCCATCTGTCAACGGACTCAAGTCTTTGGAACTAAATTGTGTCATGAGTCATGGCTTATCAAAGCACCTTAAAATTGCTTCTTATCCATCTGCTGGTTGGTCACCAAAATGCTTCTTAACGATGCTGTCCCTCTATCACGTCAGCATTGGCTGCACCACGTCCAGTCTTCAGCCAGGATGCGGCAAGAGAAGTCGGCCTTGTTGCCACTACAGCAATCAGTGCCTGGCAGCAGTGGACCCGCTACCACTATCCAACTCCATAGCTACCTTACTGTACATTGATAGACGGGCCAATGGAAGGAATAATATGATTTAGTAGACAGCTTGTAGGCTCTCTTTCAGTGGGGTCACTGACATCGATCCTAGTTGGTTGCAGTAGCATCCTGCCAAAACATCGCATCCAGCTGGAGCAAACGTTTAATGTCAAACGTTTAAAGCACCTTCCCAGCTCCTAACTGCCTCCTGACTTGAGGGGTCCATGCAGTTGCTTGGTGAATTCGTTGCCTCCATGTTCAGCCACCCATGACGAAAACACCGCTCGCCCCACCACCCACAAAACACAGTAATGTAGACTCTGGAATAAGAAATGGGGGGGCCTTTGTTCATCAAGAGTCTACATGAAGAAACCACGTGCAGAAAGCCCCTGAAGCACAAAAAAGAACACCAAGGACGTTCTTCATCTTTCTTCATCCATATTCATCCCATCTATTCCCATCGCGGCCTACGGCCCAGAAGTCGTAGGACACCGGCGTAGAGGTGCCGAAGACAATGGGCGCCTCGGGTTTTCAAGGCCACTGGAGCAGTGCAGGTCCAGGTGTAGGTCCAGTTGGGGTATATGACATTCTAAGGGCCCGGTGGCACCAATGGTTGTTAGATATGATTATATAGTCCAGGCTTTTCTCCAAAAAAAGTGCTACATCCGTACTATTCTGTTTTACCATCTGTTGCTGGTGATGGGACACACCCTAGGTCCCTTGCAGGTAGGTCTTTAATTATAACGCCGGCCCTAGTAGATGTTGAGCATGTCAAACCCGTTGTCTTCCTGGTGGTTTTAGGTGTACTTGAGGCCTGATCACACTATGATGGGAATCTCTCCAGCGGGATTGTAGGCCTGCAGCGATTGATTCAAGAGCTGGTTCAAGAGCTGTGCCCCCCTTCAACAAGAATGCTTGTACAATGCTATGAGCAAGGCACCGCCGATTGACCGATTGCATTGGGGTCCGGCATCTCCATTGAGACAACCATACACAACGACTAAGTGACACACTTATTACTAAATACGTCATCACATGGTCTCAACCGAAATCTGGGGCTCCCAACCACGCAGTAGAGCTGCCCATTCTTGAAGCCTCAAATGTGCGTGAAGTCATTCCATGCAGATCGACTGTCCAAATGGATTCAGCTCATGGGGATTTCTCCCCGGAGACCGCGCCGCCCCACGTCCAGCCCGGCTATGAAGGAAGTCGTCGTCTTGTGACTTGTGCCTTTCTTTCTTCAGTCGTCTTCCAGTCGTCTTGTGCCCAAACAGTAGGACTATACTAGGGTCTAAGGACGCGTAGCTAGTGCAAAGCTTCACGAAAGCCGAAACCTCACGACCTCGCCACCTATAGGCACCCGCTTCCGCTTACGGGTCCGCCTCGCGACCACCGCCCACCACCGACCGAACGCGACCGGATGGTGTCCGGTCCATGGAGTGTTCCAAGGAACCCATGGACTTCTGGATGTCCAGCTGACTGCCGGGCGCGAACTGCACGATGCCCGCATCTAAGAGCTGTTGTCCCAACATGCGGTTGGGATAGACCATCCTCAGGTGACTGCCGATTTTTGTGCGAGCGAGCTTCTCGAGGACTCTTGTGGATGATTTGTCCGGGAGGACTTATGTCAATCTATGAAGAACATCAGCGAAACAAGGTGACCGGTCATTGGATTGTCATCCATCTTAAGTGTTTTGGATGCCTGTGCCAATGCGAAACACCTAGGTGAGTCACTATGACAAAGCATGACAAAGCTGCAAATCTGATGTTTGAGGCAATACCGGCAATACCTATCTCATCCTTTCACATCGAGCTGGTGGCCGCTAAAGCGCATGGCCCATCTAAGGCCTGACATGTATAGACTGTTGTATACCCAGACACTCCATGTATGCCATATATGCCTACATTGACCCCTCAAACCACTCCAACTGATCGGCATATATGGCATACATGGAGTGTCTGGGTTATATACTTAACCACCGGATGCCACAAGTGATGTCCGATGGCCCTGGCTCAAATCACGCGTGCCCGCCATGGGTCGTGTAGTTGTTCAAATTGCCGAGGTCGT